CTTGCTGAAAATTTTAAAAACTCTTCCTGAGTTGCATATCTCGCATATTTAGCAGACATGAAATTTTGAAGAAATTGTGCAACGCCAATTTGCAACGCCATACCTAAGAAAAAATGGATGTGTGTTTGTGTGTGTTTTGTGTGTCCGCATTTTTTCGTTCACGTTTTCGAGCGCACGGATGAACCGGTTTGAATGGTTTATTCAACATTCGGTTCCTATGTTTAAGGTGATATGCTGACTAGTATTTGGCAAAGGCAGGTCCAGCCGTTACGGAGATACGGAGTAAAGAGTGCAGAAAATAGAAATCGAATTTTTAAGAGAACGGAGTATCCCATATGAATGATCCAAAAAACATTCAATTTGTAATGATTGGGAGAAGTAGTGATTAGGTTTTGGCAAAGACATGTCCTGCCATTTCGAAGATACAGAGCTAAATGTACAAAAATGGCAGAGTTTGAGAGAACTAAGCATCCGATTTGAATGATTAAAAAAACTTGCTGTTTGTGTTGACAAAACAATTACTTTTGGGAAAGAAAAATATTTCAATTTTTTTTTTTTCAAAAAATTTTTCTTTGTATATCGAAAATAATTCAGATTTTAATTTTAATTCTGGCTAAATTTCTAAAGCTCACTTATATTCTTCGAATAAATAATTTTTTTAAATTTTGTAATTCAGCTTATATATATCTTATGAATATTATACAGTGTTACAGTATTTAGAATAATCTAATTGGAAACATTTAAAATTATTCGAAAATTTCGTCACGGTGCGGATTAGTAGGATTTTCATGAAAAATATATTTATTCATAATGAATATAGTTTTTACTTATTGTTTCCTTCAAACCATTTATTTCAGCCTTTTTCGTAATTTAGAAGTAACAAACAATGTTATGGCAGGTTATACAGAAATATGTTGCAAACAGATTCCAATTATAGGCTCTTTTAGTTAATTTTTTTGTGGGGTAATGAGAAGTTGCACAAAAACATTTTGGGGTAATGGTTCCAAAAGTTCCCCCACCACTGTTTTAGAGAAACAATTATATGTTGTGATTTTTCGATATTGATTTTGATATTAAATTTGAACATAAAGCTGTGTATGATATCGGTTACTAGCAATACATCACTAGATGGCGCAAAACAAGTTTTGTATAAGGTACGACACACAAGATTGTGTTAAAGGCACCGCATATGCTTCTTCTTAGAAATGATTCAAAATTAACGGGCTTGCATACATAATTATGACCATAGATAAACAAGTATAAATGTTATTATGACGATATTAAACTTGATTTGTAACAAATACCATTAATTACTCAAATTTATTTACATACACATATAACATTTGTTTCACGTAACACAACGCGTTGAGGGACTGACTTGATCAGGAGAAATTGATGATTGCGAAAATGCGAAAAACATTTTTTCATGCGCCCACGTTTTAGTGCGCACTTTGATGCCATGAAGACGGCATTGAATTAAGGCATTATACCAGATTCACTAGTAAAAGCGATTCTTACATCAGAGACTACTTGAAGCACTACCATCACATTTGCAAGAGAAGTTCTCATTTACTCACTGTTGTGATTTTAAAATCATCCCAGTAGATTTGCAATAATTCTTTTGAACTTACTCTCATTGTAGTAGATTTTTATCCATTTTCATAGGTATGTGCATGTACTCACTGTAGTATATTTGTACTCATTGTAGCAGATTTACATTAGTAGTAGTAAGCTTAGTTTCATTGTAATAAGTAATAAACTATTAAGATTGTAGTAGATTCGCATTCATTTGCGTAGTTTTACAATCATTATGATAGATTTACATTCTTGCAGTAAACACACACTCGCATCACAGTAGATTTACAGTCATTATAGTAGAATTGAACTCATACTTGTACATTCACAATCATTGTTGTAGTTTTGAACTCATTATAGTAGATTTACACTCACAAAACTTGTCCAACGCAAATTTGTACTCAATGTAGCAAACTTACATTCAATGTTGTAGGTGATGTATACTAATTATCGTAAATTTACATTCATCGTAAAGTAAACTTACACGCATTGGTAGTAGTTTACGCTCATTTACGTAGTTTTTTACTTACAATTAGTCGACTAAACCAGTTACGTAATCTTACGAATAAAAGATATTTACGAATGTATATATATATATATATATATATATATATATATATATATATATATATATATATATATATATAAATTCGTACGTTACGTTTTTGAGGCGGAAATAGAAACGTCTGTGTGCCTCTTAGGTTACGTAACATCTGTTACGTTATATTAACGTTTTAATTGCGTTTGTGGTTTACTCATTTACTATATATATATATATATATATATATATATATATATATATATATATATAGGTTTAGTGGACTAGAAAAATGTTGGTCAGATCCGTATCGTTGTTCGTATGTCCCAAAAAAAAAAAAATTGTTTGCCCCAGGAGACTGTGCTCCACCCTGTGCGGCGGAAACGTCGCCTGGATGAGCCGAGGTGTCCCCATAACGCTCGGTTTCTCGATTTTGAAAAATTCGTAGAACCAGACAGACAGACAGAAATAAAAATTTATTCAATATATACAGTGGAAAATACAGTGAATTACATGTGGGTTTGTCTACCCTCGGGTATTTTACCCAAAAGTTTATGGTTTTACAACATTGTCTATATATTTATATTTGTACAATATTTTATACATTATTACTCAAGGACAAAAAAAAGGAGAAAAGTTTTAGTCTCCTACAAAAAAATCCTTCATACAGTGTTTTATAACTGATGTATTTACTGCGGGTTCGATCAGGTAGTTTGGCATGGCATAATTCCCGTACCAGATCATTTCTGATGTGTACTGGCCTAACGCGCGGATGGTACTGTTATCGTGATCCCTACACTTTCGGTAAAAATTCTCAGTGAGCTTTTTGATGTGTTCTAGCATGGTCGGTATGTCCGTCTGTTCGTGTAAATATTTCGTTAAATAGTAGTGTCTCGTCAGTGGGTCTCTTGATTTGTCTAGTACCAGTCTCAGTGCTTTGTTCTGTGCTATTTGAACCAATAAAAGGAATTTAATTATTAATTGTACAGGTAGTACTGCACAGCGTGCGTCATGAGTTGTAAAAAAACATTCGTTTTCATAATGTTTTTTAATTTTCGTAAAATTGAAAATAAAAGTTCGAAATTATTAATGCGAGAAGCTATTTTAACTCGCATTTGGAATTTTGTTTTCGGAAATTTTCTCATTCATAACATATTTCATATAAGCGTACTCGTTGTATATAACATTTTCAGATACTTGATGAGTAGTTGCAATTTTATTATTGAATAATTGTGAAGATTCCGGAACACAAGGTGGAAATCTGGGACTGTCCCGTCCAATTAGGGAGGTATGGTCACCTTTATTTATAATAAAATAAATCTAAAGTGTAATCATTTATGTTCAACAAAAAATTCAGAGCCAAATTGAAGTAATAAAATAAAATAAAACAAACCCACATTTAATTCAATATCTTTTAAATCTATAAAAACATCTCTGCCCAATTCCTTATCTATGTTTCAGCCTTTAATACAAAAAAACGAAGTTGTAATACAACAGCAATAAAACAAAACTTTGTCGTCACATCAAATCAAAGGCAACATATGAGCATTTATGTATTTTATTATACACAAAATATAAATAAAGTATCTTACAAATAAGTAGAACATTAACAAGAGTTGGTAATAGTATAATCAAATAAAAACAAAAACTAGTGGAGTGTGTGGCATCGTGCCTTAAGGCAAATTGCTGGAACGTCCCGTACCGTAACGAAATGTACAAAGAATATTGAATGTTTTGAAATAGATTATTATAAATATTGTAACATTGTCTAATATTTATAAGAATTATATAAACTGAATTGCAAAGTTGAAATTATTTGTTTAAAGTATATTAGAACTTTAGTCAGAATTAATAATAAAATCTGAATTATTTTCGATATACAAAAAAAAATTGTTAAAAAAAATTGAAAAAAAAATTTGAAACAAAATTTTTTTTTCAAAATCAATTATTTTGTTAAAAACAAGCAGAAAGTTCATCATTTAAATCGGACGCTTAGTTCTCTCAAAAACTGCCATTTTTTGCAAATTTAGCTCTGTATCTCTGAAACCGCTGAACCTGCCTTTGCCGAAAACTAATAACCACTTCTCCCAACCATCACTAATTGAATGTTTTTTTTAGATCATTTAAATCGGATGCTCTGTTCTCTCAAATATTCGATTTCTATTTTCTGAACTCGTAGCTCTTTATTTCCATAACTACTGGACCTGTCTTTGCCAAAAACTAATCAGCACATCTCCCTATCAATAGGAACCGAATGTTTTTTGAACCATTCAAATCGGTTGATCCGTGCGCCCGAAAACGTGGACAAAAAATTGTATCCATACATACACGCACACACATCCATTTTTTCTGAGGTATGCCAAAATGTTCAAAAAAAAACCTGAAAACGTCGAGAACTGCAAAAATTATCATTTTCGATTTTTGGACGATTACATGTAAGTTAATTAAACGGGAAGTTTATTAAAATGAATTTCACATTATTATGAAAAATACAAAGCAAGCATTTTCAATATTCATTTTTATGAGTTCTCGAAAAGGTTTGTGAATTATTGCATGTAAAATACATTCGCAAGTGATAGAACTATGTTCATGAATAACACTTACATTAAACAGAATTAAATATTTTCTATTAAAAGTTTAATAAAAATTGCTTAAAATGCCTAAATAAGGAAAAATATGATCTTATATTTGAAATGTAACAAATGTAATATCACTATGATTCAATCAACACTACAAAATAGTTGTAGTGACACATGCTTACAGCAATAACAATATATTACATAAACATTTAAACAAAGATTTAAAAAGGTTGAAATTAATTGATTAATATTAAAATGACTATATACAAAATTTTAAATATCTCTAAAATCGAGGTAGCATTGAGTACCTCGGAGGTGTCTTCCAAACAGCACTAGATCTTCGATTTAATTTGTCTTTGCTAATTCCTGGGAATATAACTCTCAAATCCGGTGTGGTCGCTTTCACATTAAACAACAGATCTACTAATTTTGTTGACGTTCTTGCTTGATTTATAATTGCAGCTTGCCGTGCTTCAGCTGAAAAAATATAAATTTTTAATATGAAGATAAATATAATTACACTGTGGGAGTCGTAATGATTATGACAATATATTAAATTAGAAACTCCCAACAATAAAAAAAAATATAAATTTATTAACTGTAAAAATATTTCGATGTCAAAAATATACATGACATGTCCCATTGTTTTTTACAAATAAAAACCAGCCTGCTTGATATCGCCACACACTCCCTGCCCAGTGTTGATCTCACAGTTTAAAAAAAAAAAACACAGGGAAACACGTTATAAAAATGTGGTGGGAAAGCAGATTATAGCAGACCAGTGTTGTAATACTGGTTAATTACAAATTTCCATGTTTCGTCAGCAGATCCACCGTTTGTGGTGATTCGACCTGCCATCAACTCCATATTCTGCATAAGGTTCTGATTAAACTGCATAAGGTTCTGAAAAACATGTGGAAAATTTCCTGTACCTCGATGTCGGTGAACTTCTAAGATTCCGCCTCCATCTAATTGGTATTAGTTATATCAGAATTACTTAATGTTTAGAATGCATAATTTATGGGTACAGTTTCCATTTCTGCAAGCGTTGCATTCGTATCTGATGAGTTCCGATCAGAGAAAGAAGTTGGCTCTTTATCCAAATCAGGATCATTGGTTTCTTTGACATAAGAGTCCAGAATTGTGAAATCCAATAAATTATATCAAATTTTGTTTTGACTCGTCGTTGACACCGATAATGGGAGGTAGCATTATAAGACGATTTGTTGAGTTAACAGAGAAAGAGAGGTTGAATTGCATTCCAATGAAAAGTTCAGGCTCCAAATTATTTTTTCTGTCAGCAATAAACACTGAGGTCTGGGTATACCAAATGAGTAACCTCGGAAGTCTGATCCAGATAGTAAGTGCGTTAACTATGATGGATTGGACTGGACATACCTTATAGGTCGTCACTGAAGACCAGTGATTATGGTGCTGCGTCAAAATCAATTTTTCTTAAATCTTCGAAAAATAAAACTCCTTTATCTTCATCTCCATCGTCGTGAGTCACCAATGTGGGAGTCGTAATGATTATGACAATATATTAAATTAGAAACTCCCAACAATAAAAAAAAATATAAATTTATTAACTGTAAAAATATTTCGATATCAAAAATATACATGACATGTCCCATTGTTTTTTACAAATAAAAACCAGCCTGCTTGATATCGCCACAACACTAGCAAATCCGACGAACTCCGTTTCGCCACCAGATGGTTTCGTGAGAAAGATTAAGAAATTTGTTGTTTGTTTTATATTGAAAAGGAAAACTTTGATTTTATTACACAACAGTAACGAATTTAATTTGATTACAAATGTATTGTTTTTTAGTTGGACTTCTCGAAGTAAATGACAGTGAATCCGCAAATTATCTGTTTCATTAAAGTGCTCTTTGGTAAACCACATTTTTTTGTTTTTTTGGTCT